CACACACACACACACACACACACACACACATAAACAAATAAAATTTAAAAAAAAAAAAGAACAGGAGTGGGAAGCAGAGGAGCTCAGGGTGTATCATGTACGAAGAGCCCTGGGTGCTGTGATACACATCTATAATCTTTGCTATTCTGGACGCTGAGGTATAAGGATTCCAAGTTGAACGCCACCCTGGACAATTTAGCAAGATCCCATTAAGAAGAAAAAAAAGAACCTTAAAGGGCTAGGGAGCAACAGAGAACACTGAGGAGTGGGAGTGGAGCCTGGAAGAAAATAAGGAGATTAGGGCTGCAAAGAGGGCTTTCCATTCCTAACAGGGCTTTCCATTTCTAACCTCCCAAATACTCACGCCTCTCTCAGATCCTCAGGCACAGCCATGGTAACCTTGAAGAAGCTGCCTTTGTTTGCAAGGGGATTGGGATTTACTGGCCGAAGTCGCTCCAGGGTGACAATTTCATTGTAGGTGGCATCACAAGCAGCATATTCAATGACATAAAACTAAGAAAAGGGAAAAAGTCGTGGATGACCCAACCACCTATCTCCTACCTTTCTATGAATATCTGGTATCTTAAGTTCTCCAAAGATGTTTACAATCACTCACATCTCCTTTCATCATCCGCACCCGGGCCAGCCACCAGCCACAGGGTTCCTGTTCATTGGCTCGGGAATAGACCTAAGACAAGTTGGAAATGAAAGAGAAATTGAAGGCAATCCAAAAGATAGAATAAACACTAGATATGAAATACAAAAATAAAAACAAAAACACTAGCTATGGCGGTGCATGGCTAGAATCCCAGTCTCTGGAAGCTGCAGCAGAACTGCCATGGGTTCAAGGCCACCCTGGGCTACACAGTGAATTCAAGGCCAGCAAATTATATAGGGAGATCTTGTCTCAAAAAGAAAAAAAAAAAAAAAAGAAAAGAAAGGAAAAAGGGCCGGCCAAATAGCTCAGTGGATTAAAGTGCCTGAAAGCAGGTGCAAGGACCAGGGGTTCAATCCCCGGGCCTGTCCTGCTGGCCCCACCCATGGGGCACACTGAAATAGCAACTGACACTGGGCATGGTGGCACACACCCGTAATCCCTACTCTTGGGAGGCTGTAAACAGGCAGACCACTACAAGTCAGATCTAGAAGTGAGACCCTGAACACCCTGTAGACCCTTCTCTAAAAATACAAAAAAAAAAGAATAAACATTAAGATATATAGAATACATCCTAACCCAAAGATAAAGGAAACCAAAAGAAGAAGCCAGTAACTAGAGGGCCCTAGATTTTATCTTATTTATTTTGGTACTTGGGATCAAACTCAGGACCTCATGCTTGCCAGGTAAGTACTTGTATCACTTAGCTATCTCCTTGGTCCTTATTATTATTATTATTATTATTGTTGTTTTAAATTTATTTTTTTGAGAACCGGGGATTGAACTCAGGTCCCTGCACTTGCCAGGCAAGCACTTATTCTACTGAGTTATCTCTCCGGCCCTGTCCTCATTAATTTTTAAGGTACTAGAGATTAAACCCAGTGCCTTTATATTGAGCTACATACATCCCCACACCTTTTCTTTTTGGTTTCTAGAGACAGTGTCATGTAGTTCAGGATGGCCTTAAACACACCATGTAGCTAGGCATGGTGGTACACGTCAGTTAATCCCAGCACTCAGGAAGCCGAGGCAGGAGGATTATTGTGAGCTTCAAGGCAGGCTGGGCTACATAGTGAGTTCAAAGCCAACCTAAATTACACAGTGAGACTGTATAAAGTACACAACAAAAACAAAAGAACAAACTATATATAGCCCAGGGTTGCTTCAAACTGACAGTGATCCTCCTGCCTCAGTCTCCCAAGTGCTGGGATTACAAGGATGTACCACCATGCCTGGCCCACCTTTTTAAAACTTTTGAGACTGGGTCTAAATTGCCCAAATGCCCAGGCTGAGTTCAGATTTACAATCCTCCCAGAGCATGGGGATTACAGACAGGTGCCACCATGCCCAGCAGGATTTTGCTTTTTCATTTATGATTGTTATTTTTTATTGTTTAGTACAGGGTCTACAGGGTCTCACTACACAGATCAGACTAGTAGTGATCATGTTTTCAGCCTCCCAAGCACTGGGATTACAGGTGTGTGCTACCACACCCAGTCTTGTCACTGTTTCAGCATGCCCCAGGGGCAGGACTGGCACAGCAGGCCGGGTCTCCGAACTGTTTGCTGCACCTGCCTAAGCAGGCACTTTAGTCCACTGGGCTATCTGGCCAGGCCATGATTGTTATTTTTAATTTAAGAGGCAGGGTCTCCCTATGTTGCCCAGGCTGCCCCAGACCTCCTGAACTCAAGCAATCTTCTTTCCTTACTTTCCCAAGTCACTGGGACTATGGGCAGATGCTACCACACTCAAGAGCAGTGGATTTTAGGTGCTGTTACCACAAATGGAAAAAAGGGAATCCCTTGAAACTGGCACACTTGAGAGTTGGGCTGTTTACACCCATAGAAATAGAACTGTTGCATTCTACCTCACAAACTACTGGCTGGACATGGGGGCTCAGGTAGGGGAGGGACACAAAACCACCAGAGAACAGCCTCAGATCCTAAGAGAGTGGTGTTTAGAAAGAACAGATTCTGCCTGGCATGTGGTGCATGGTGGCAAAAATAAAAATAAAAGTGAGAGCTGGGGAGATGGCTCAGTGGAGTAAGCGCTTCCCTGGCAAGCAAAAAGGCCTGAGTTCAATACCCGGTTCTGCAAAAATAAATAAATAAATAAATAAATAAATAAATAAATAAGTGGATTGGAGGGCTGGTGAAATGGCTCAGTGGTCTAAAGCACCTACTTAGAACAAGCTTAGCAAAGCACAGGGACCATGGTTCAATCCCCCAGCACCACATGCCAGCCAGCCCCACCCCCTGGTAGGCTGAGCTGGCCACACACACACACACAATAGATAAGTAAATAAATAAAACAAATAAATAAAATTTTAATTAAAAAAGTGGATTGGAGATGTAGCTCAATGTGAAGATGCCGGTTCAATCCCAATATCATACATATACACATACAAAAGTGAACTTCCCAAATCCATAGCCCTTACCTCTACCTCATCCCCTTCTGTGATCTCCTTATTATAGTCTGCTGGAGGTGGTAGCCGAACATCCCCAAAAGGAATCTGTCTTTCACTCTGCCAGCTGCAAAAGAAACAGTGATATGAAAGCTATTTGGACTGATGTGGCCACCCATTTCTCCAGACAGCGGTTACTGCCTCGGCTGGGCAACTTCTATCTGCCTTGTTAGAGGCTGAACTCCAGGCTCTATTCCATCTCTTTGTTACAATCTAGCAAACATACCCATCCTCACCAAATATTCTGCCTTTTCTCTCCTGGGATTTATGTAAAGTACCAACTCTCAGCTCTTCTCCATGTATTACATACCTCATAGGACTCAGCTGTTCCCTCTTCTATACTCTCATTCTAGGAACTAGGTGTGATGGATT